TATAAGCCTCGCAAAATCGTCCGCACGGCCGGCCGGCCGGCCGGCCGCTCATACTCAGAAATTTCCGTTAATCTAAGGAAAGACTCCGCTCGCTTCGCTCGCTCCGTAACTAGAACGTCCTGATGACCGTTCACCAATAGATTTGCTAACTTCAGCAAGTGAAAACGATGGGAATGTGCATTGAATATTTGAAAGTATGTGCACTACAGACCTCTCTAATCCCGTTATTCTGAACTGTGTTCAAAATTTCCAAGAAGTGGTCTTTCCACATAGTTATAGCACGGTTATAGTATGACATTTACCTTCGGTTTAGCCTCGTGACATTGACAGATCTGTCATGTCAGATATTCAACCATCAACTTTGGCCGAAACACTGTCCAGGAAGCTGCGCAGGTCGGTAGGTGCTCGTAACTCAGAGGGTGGGTAACATGTGAGCTGAATGCGTTGTCGTGAGTTCGAGTCTCACTTCCGGCTTCGGTTTTATCGAGACACGAATGAAAACCTTTCCTTCTACTGCAACACTGACAAGCACGGTAATTTATCTTTCCCAATATCCTCTTAGAAAACTCAAAATTGTCGCAACTAGATGTGTCGCTTAGTTTCTTTTTTTAAGAAAACCTTTTTCGTCATTTTTCTGGACCTCTGCGAGGCTCTTTTCTGCGAGGCTCTAGCTCTATAAGAAGCGAAACGGCGTGCTGGGGTCGTATCAACCCCTCCGAAACCCATTTTGTTTGCGGGGAAGTGAGGAACTTATAGAAAGAACACCTTTCTAATTTTTTGCATGTCGATTTGCAATGACATGAAGTTTATTTTGAAAAAATAAAAATGTGAAAAATTTTGGTCCCAAAAGTCATTAGAGGCAAATGAAAAAAGATTAAGGTTTTTGCTCAACAATGAAATTTTTTCTTTGGAATTTTTAAATAGTAATATTAATTTTTGATTCATCGCAAGCATAGTGTTGTTTACTTTTTGTTGGTTGCTTAACCCGTTCTTGAGTTATAGGCCATCAAACTCACCGTTACATACCGAAGTTAAAAAAATGTAATGCAATATAACTCAAAAAGTTTTGATCTGAGAAGTCTGATATTTTGCCAGGCGTCTTTGGGGCCTATGATTACCCCTAGGACCGATTTTCATTAAAATCTGAGAGATGAGGGTGACGGGCCTGGTACGATCTATCGTGGAATGCCCCAACTGTGAAAAACTGACTCTTTGAAAGTTTTCCTCTAAAATTATTGCTTCTATTAGAAAAAATGACTTTTGATAACTCTGAACGTTTGCACGAAACTGCCCCACCAATGGGGCACATTCGTGCAAGGGATGGGGCACTTCCGTGCACCCTGCAAAGTTCGAGAAATTACCGGGCATTACCAGAAATTTACCAAAGGAAATTGGCAGGGGGTCATTTCACTTGATTCCTTTCGACAAGAATGCATTGCACAACATATGTAGAAAGAATGGGCTGGCCAACAAGAATGTGCCAACTGCCGGCCTCTGTGACCTCGCCAAGTTCGCGTGAATTACTCGTCACGACGTCGCAAGCAGCCGAGACTGAGTCAGGCGAGCGTCATTAGTGAAACCTACTACAGATAAAGTCATAAATCGCAAAAACTAAAAAAAAATATGCACGAATGTGCCCCCAGGCAGTGCGTACCTACACGAACCTGCCCCACAACGTTATTTGTAATATATTTCAAAATTTCTTGTTGAAAAACTGACACTTAAGCCCGGTTCCCACTGGGCCCGTCACCCGTCGAAACGGGCCCGTCGCCGTTGACGGGCCCGTTTACGGCCCGTACCTGACGGGCTCAGTGGGAACCGGGCGGCGACGCCACATGACGGGGCGCAACAGCTGACTGCGACGGGCCCGTCGCCGTCGGAGCCCGTTTCGGAGACATGAAAATATTCATGTTTTGGTGCGGAACGGGCCCGTTTTTCGTGTTGGTGCTTCTGTGTTCCTTCTCATTTTACGTGTAAATATGGTATGAACGAGGTTGTAGATGACTGAAAAACATGTAAAACTGATGATTTCAGTAAAGTAGCGTAGAATGTCGTACATATTACTGATCATCCAGCGGTTTGGATGGAAATGTGATGGTATTTTAGATAGTCAACTTGATTGAAGTGTGGTCCTGGCTGGAAAATATTATGATAGTAGGTGTTTGAAATAATTAAAGCAAACCTGTGGTTGTCCGGTATGTTCACTTCACGTGCACACTGCACCAAACTTTTCGACAAACTGACCCCTCGCCGCCGGAAGGCGGTAAGGGGGACGCGGCCGCTCGGACAGACCCCCACAGCGAGACGCGGCACCGCCGCGTGGTGCGGGACGGCCCGCCGGACCCGGGACGGACTCCCCACAGCGCGCCGCGCCGCCGGCCAGCCGGCCTCCCCGCTTCCCAACACTGCGCCATGGAGTAGAGAACCCATGGAGTATTCCCTACTCCATGACTGCGCGTAGAACGAATAAACGCGCGCCCTTTTTGTCACGACAAGTGCTACCATATGACCCGTTTCATGGCTACCATATTCAACTTGGGAAAAGCGGCCTTCAAAACGGGCGGTGACGGCGAGGGGCCCGTTTCGACGGGTGACGGGCCCAGTGGGAACCGGGCTTTTGTCAACAAACAACTTTGCAGAAGATTCCGTGAATAGAGTGAGCTTCTTCGCCCCCAATTTTGAAAAGCTGAACCACATTTCCGAGTCAGGATCACGAAAATGGATAACTTGAGAAAAGTTTGGAAAGCTCACGAATATTACAAATTTGCGTTTTTATCAAGCATGACAGCACGTACAGTGTTGTCTTCTACGGTGAACGAAGGGCGGCAATGATAGACATATTTCCATAATTTACCTTGGGCTCGTGCAGTCACTCGTGTACCCATAAACTGCTGAAAACGAATGTGCCCCACTCTCCCTTAACCCGGCAGTTGCTGGGGTATTTCGCCACCCACCGTTTGCTGGGGGGGGGGGGGCGTTAAACGCCCCCAGCCCATAACTCGAGAACCAATAGGCGCAGCGAAACGACGCACGAGGCGGCAAACGAAAGAACGCGACGAGACGCTTCAGATGAGTACTTTTAAGTTGAATTTTGAGGTCACAGGTCAGGTCAAGGTCAGGTCAAACACCTGAAATCGGGCTTTCAGTAGCACGGACTTCAGGACTTCGCAATGTGCGCCTCTCGTCATAAACTCTGTCAAAACGGTGCACAATCCATCATATAAGGCCTACAAGAGTGTCAGCTCCATGCAGGGGTCAGTCAAGCATAGGTCAGGGTCAAGGTCAGGTCAACCGGGCAGGCACATATCCCCGAAAATAAAAACTGATATTCGGAGCCTGTGACACATGTTTTATGGGTAATTTGGGGCGTAGAGCACGATGGTGACATTCATTTTATCATATGTGTACATGTTTGGCTAAAAAAGTTCAATTTAAGAAATGCATGTATCATGGTCGTGAAGTAGTCACGAGAAATTGCCAAGATTCAGTTCAAGATTTTGGAAAATGCGGAATGATAATCAATAATCGAAGATAGCCATCTAATTGTTCATGGTATTGGCAGTCTAATGACGTTTACGGCATGTCTGTATGTCTATTCTGTGATTTTATATGATTTTTTGAATATATGCCGTTTTTGGTCGAAAACTCAGGAATCATGACGTCACTAAAACCTCGATATCTCAAAAATTTTCCGACCGATTTTTTTTAAACTTTGTCACAATAAACTTCAATCAATTCCCTACAGGTACCCAAAATTTGGCGCGCCTGCGGCGCGCCGTTTTTATGCTATGGCCCGGCGAAAAAAGTGGGGGCGTTTAACGCCCCCCCCAGCAACTCGCGGGTTAACACGCGCAGTGGAAGGGGGGGGGGGCGGATTTCGCCCACCCCTCCTGTTTTTTCGCCAATAACTCGCGCCGCAAGCATAATATCAATGTGAAATTTCGGCTACCTGTCCAGAATTGAATTTCGGATCTTCTCGTGCAAGAAGTAAGAAAATCGGTTCACAACTTTTCTAGTAATAGCGGTGTAAAGTCAAACATCCTGCCGCCGCGGCGGCGCGGCGGCGCGGCGGCGCGGCCGGCGCTAGCCGTTACGCGCCGCCTGAATTGTAGACTGTGCCGGGGCGGGACGGTTCCGTCTTTACATCGCGCTCCTTACCGCTGATTATATTAGATTCGCGTCAAATTCGGTGAGAAGACTGAGAAATGTACAATCATATGGCCAAAAAATTTGAAAGTCGGCCGGTAACAACTTGAGTTATGAGTGTGTAAACACAAAATTGTGATTGCCGCGTTTCCCGCGTCGGCCGATGCCGCTTCAGCCGGCGACATCTTACCCTTAGCAGGCTTCTAACTGCCATATTTATTATTGGATTATCTAGAAATTCACCATACATACTCACAAATGTTTGCTCTTTCGTATAGTGAAAGATTTTTAAAAATCGGCCGGTAACTTTTTGAGTTATCGGCGTGTAAACGCAAAAAAGTCGCTAATATGGCAGATTTGACCACATTTGACCTCATTTGACCTTGAAGATATTGACCTACGGTCATGAAATTCACACACAACAGAGGTCCTCATGGCCCCCACCTACCCTCCAAATTTCGTCTTTCTAGCTCAAGTGGGAGCTGAGATCTTAGGGGGGGGGGGCGACATCCGCCCCCCCTTCCACTGGGCGTAGTACTCGCAACCCTTCCACTGCGCGTGTTAAAGGCAGTGCGCCGAGGCTGGCCGCTGGCTTTTATTTATCCAATATCCAGGTCGTGCTGCCTGCTGGTGATGCTAACCAGAATAAAATGACAATATCAATTTATCGTCTTTGACGACTGCTATTTTCGTTTGTTAACAGTTCAAAAGTTTTTTTTTTTTTGCTGGCAATTCTAAGTATTGCATTGAGTGTGCATGAACTTCTACGCATCCAATTATCAAACATTTACATTACAATACTTGTTCATATTATAACTGCAATTCCAGTTACAATTTACCTATGTGCCCTACAGGTATCGGCGATGCCCTTCGATGTCCTCACTGCGACTACCGCTGTTCGAAACAACCGTGTCTAGACCGACACTTGAAGACATGGGACGGTGACGGCGGCAGGAACGGTAGATTCCAGTGCGAGTGGTGTCCGAACGCCACTGACTGTTCCGACCATATGAAACGGAATCGAAGGACCCTCACGGGCGAACGGCCATTTGGGTGTACCTCCTGTTCGGCGCGATTTGGAGAGCAACCCAGTCTCATTCGACACACGAAGGCCCACATGGGAGAGCGGCCGTACGGCTGCTCCATCTGCCCAGCACGGTTCGCTCAGCGGTCACACCTCATCAGACACATGCGGATCCACACTGGGGAGAGACCGCACGGCTGCTCCATCTGTCAGGCACGGTTCTCTGATCGGTCAAACCTCATCAACCACATGCGGACCCACACGGGAGAGCGGCCGCACGAGTGTTCCATCTGCACGGCACGGCTCACTAGACGGTCAGACCTCGTTCAGCACATGCGTACCCACACCGGGGAGCGGCCATACGGCTGTTCCATCTGCACGGCCCGGTTCGTTAAACAGGCGGAGCTCACCAGACACATGCGGATCCACACCGGGGAACGGCCGTACGGCTGCTCCTTCTGCACGGCACGGTTTGCTCAACAGGCAAACCTCACGAAACACATGCGGACCCACACGGGAGAGCGGCCTTACGGCTGCTCCATCTGCCCGGCACGGTTCACTAGACGGGAACACCTCACAAGACATGTGCGTACTCACACCGGGGAACGGCCGCACGGCTGCTCTTTCTGTACGGCACGATTCTCTGAACGCTCACACCTCATCAGGCATATGCGATCACAGAGCTGCGGAGTCGGAGTCGGTCGGAGTCACCACCGACCGACTCCTATTTGAGCTCACCTATATCTGTCGGAGTCGACAGTTTTCCCGGAGTCAGAGTTGGAGTCAGTATGACTGCATGGCTCAAAATCATGCCCTTACATTTCATTCATTTCATTTATTTACGTATCAGCCACGGGACATGCCCATTTGCGGCTAGTCACAGCACAAAAAAAAAAACAGTCTTCATAAAATTAGCCTAACTGCCAAAGCACAAAAATAAAAATGAAAGTTAATTTAAAATAAACAAATGCGAGCACTGAACATTTGAAAACCTTTTCAAGTGCTATGATAACAAGCACTCTTGATACACCTTAAAATAGAAGACCTGACGCGAGATAAAGAATCATGAAACATGTCGACCTCATCACATCGCTGCCAAAACTCGCTCATCTGCACCCTGGGAAACCTTCAAAACACGAGTATCCCGACCAATAGCGTGCTTCTTGGGTGACGGCAAGGTGGCGTCATATGCATCTGTCAGAGTGGCCGACCTATGATTTTTTTCTTCTTCTTTTGCATGGCTCATTGTACGGAGAATGGCATGTGTTCCAACTACCAGGGACGGTAAAATGTACGATTGCACAGTGGAGATTTTCCCGATCTAGCACGACTATTCGAAGAGGGTAGAAGTGTAGCCAGATTATGCACAGATGTATGTGGTGAGTGTCACCTTAAATGTACATAATAAACATATATATTATATGGTCACATGCGTAGGAACGTTTTCGAAAGTGGGAGGAGGCTTTCAGAGGCCCAAAACATCACCTACACCCCAAAGTCCATTTTCTCCTCGGATTTCGGCCACTTTATTTTCGCAAACATGCTCAAACAGGTAAAAACAAAAACGAGAAAAAAAGCAACAAAATTGACCAAAATCCCAGAGAGACTCTCGTCCAGAAACTAACAGAGAAAACAGAAACAGAAACAGAGACTGATGGACGCGTCCCCCTTTCCCCATAGCCGTCGGTACCCATGCAAATTCAAGAAATATCCAAACACATATTTATTGCGAGCGAGCGTGAAACGTGCAAATCGAGTCTTCTCAATATATAAAAATCAGCATGAGCATGCTATGGGCTCAGTCAGGCCTGTAACGCTTGAACCCTTGCCAAGCGAGAGCCTTTTTCATACACTGTAAAAAATATTGACTAGCCCCTCGTCAAATGATTCTCAACGCTAAATGTCGGGGGTACAGACTAGTTTTGCATCCTACTTTTGACACACGCTGCGAGCCCCTGGCTTGTTTTGCTTTCGTCAGATGACAGTTACCAGGTGTCGGTTAGTTTTTACCACGTCCCAAAAAATAGCTGGAGCGTTTCTGCCTTGTTTTGGAAGCAGGTCCTCGTTAATGCTGTGTATGATAACAAAGTACCTAGTAACAATAATAACGAAAAACAATGTCAAAACGAGGACGGCTTGTTTAGTGACGATGTTCAAAAGAAGCATGGTCTTGTTCCTACTTAACGAATGAAGCTCAAACTATAGGTCAAAACTAACGTATTGCTATACATTTGAACCCCACGACGAGCCCATTGTTGGTTCAAAAACTAGCTCATACCTGGTGCTGGTAACCTTACAAGCCCTAATTAGGCCATAATTAGGGCCCTAATTAATATGGGTTAATTAGGGGCCCAACTAGGCCCTAATCAACCCATAGTCAGATGACCAGCAGATCCTACGCCGCCCAATCCAGTCATCGAATTTGCCAGCGAATTTGCTTGAAGACCATCATATTATTAAATATCGGTGATCTTCAAACGAAATCCCTTACCAGTTTGATGACGAATTCATCCGGCCCATTCCAAAAACGCTCAAGATAAAATGAAAGTGTATTTCTGAAATAATGTGCTTTCTTGCAATGCACCTTTCATATATCAAGCGAACCTTTCACTTCCAGCGCCCGTTTACAGTTATCAATCGAATCAGAAGCATGCACATACCTATCGATAGATCTGAACCTAAGAACACAGAAGACATTTTGTAGAGTACCTGTCTGAGCCTATGCAGTGGAGCCCGTGAGCCGCCCAACCGCAGCTGCCTCATGAACTTGATGATAGGCCTGAATCTCAGATTGGCCAGAGCTTGGCCGTCAATAACCAGCTTATTTATATCCACAGTTGTAGTGACTTAGGGTTTTGGAATTTGCCAAACCTAAGTTTTGATTACCAAGAGAAGTTTTGTACTTCTTGCACTTGCCTTTTCTTCATAACTTAACCCGCGCCCTGGTGGGGTCTGTTTATAACGCGACCTGGTGGGGGGGGGGGGCTATTTTTTGCCCCCCTCGTATCTCCGAAACTACTGGACGGATCCGCAAAATTCAAACGGCGTTCGAAAGGCCTGTCAAATTTGTCGAGGAAAACCAAATTTCATTGACCTCGGGGTCACCGATGACGTCACAGGTCAGGTCAAAGATGAAATGTTTCACCGTTCACGGGTCTTCTAGGGAATGCGCTATAACACCGAGGAAAACGCATTTTGTCGAGAATCAGCGATAGGGCGTCAGTTGCCTAGTAGATATATTACTATTAGAGGTCACTGACAATACCAGGTCAGGTCACAGGTCAGGTCACCAAGGGTCACAGGTCAGGTCACATGAGCCAAACTTTACTAAGGTTGTGTGATGCATGTTTTATGGCCAATTTTTCATTTCCAACTCAATGGTATTGGTTATAAGACTATCAGGTACGGCTTAGGTCACTTTCTGGTGAAGTTCAGGTCAAGGTCAGGTCAAGGTCAGGCCAAAAAAGGTCAAATTTTAAAATTGATAGTTTTGCATAAAATGGGTATTGATTCGATGCAGCTCGTCACGGGGAGTCTAATGGTGGTCTTTGTTTTGCGCTACGGGGTCTAGAATTGCTAAAAATTGAGTTTGAAAATTTGACGTCATCAATTTTGAACAGTTTTTTCGCTATAACTTCGCCAAAAAAAGAGGTATCGATCTAAAATTTGGTATGTGGATGGAAGGAGGTAAGGACTATCACATATATTCCGGTTTTTGCGAAATTCAAAAAACTTTTTGGATTTTTCGATTATTATATGCAAATTTTTTTTTTTTGATTTTTGGGGGTCAAAATCCAAAAATTTCAAAAATCCGAGATCGCAGTTTTGTAGCCCTGTTGATTCTACAGCTTTTATGTCTTTATCATTTTTCTGTATTTGCAAAGCTATAGGCCTGACAGCTCTTCCCGCGAAACCCTTTTTTGGGTCGAAAACGGCAGAACATGACGTCACTCTGACGTCATTTCCGGCCAACCTATCATAGCCTTTGGAAATTTTTTCGGTCACAATGTGTAAAATTGATGTCCGGGAGGGTACTGAAAGTTTGGTGACGATCGGCGCAGCGGTTCTGGAGATATATCAAAAAGTCTGGAGGGGGGGGGGGGGCAAAAAATAGCCCCCCCACCAGGGCGCGGGTTAAGCGGAAATCGTCGTAGTGAAACTTCAGTGTTCCGTTAGCTGTCGGTTCTTGAGAGAGTTGGCCAGGCCGGACACCGGGGGCGGCTCCACAACTTTCGAAAAATTAAACCTAAGTCCTATTGCACTGCATGGAGAGCAATTCATTTAAAATTTTATAGAAATAAAATTGTCATTCACCTTCCAAATAACCCAACAATTTATTTGCCGTAAAAAGTGTCTGGAAATGTAAAGTTGCAAACATGATTCAGCAAGTAGGGAAACGCAGCAGCTACCTGGCGAATAATCTCAGGCTGGTTTAGTGACGAGTGCATTGCTACGGCTTGTTCCTCACCCTTCAGAGATTACTATGTGTAGTTACTGTTCGCCACCAAAGACCTTGATGATCAACACTCGCTGTATTTTGACTGAGGTTTCTGCGGAAGCAAAAACACGTAGATGAAAGAAAGAAAGAAAAATTGTCAAACCAAGCTCACACCAAGCCAAGCACCAGCCATCGCCACTGATCAATCTCTCATTCTGACCACCCAACTATCCATGTGCAAGTATCCAATACCAAGATACGAGTACCAAATTGTTCCAATATTCTTTAACTGCACACAATGACACGTACGAATCCATATACCAAGCAACATATACCAAGCTATTGGTTAGATTTATATACTACCATAGACATAAACCCGTACCATCAGAATGGGGTCTCCGACGAACATCAGGCGAACACCAACGCTCCAAACCAAGTCGCCGATCCAAGGCGGGCCACCAGCCCAGCGGGCCAAGTCGGCGAGTCACAGTTCTCTCCAACCAAGTCGAGCCACCCAAAGGCGGGCGGCCAGTACAGTATGTCTAAAAAGTATGTCCCCTGGTTTGGCTCTCCCACAGGAGGCGAATCGGTAACTTGGCTGAATCCCAGTTGCGGCACCCGGCCGCCAGGGTCGCTGCCGCGCGAGCGGCCTTGACCGCTCGCATGTCATTGGCAGTTCGGTCCCTCCCCATCTATACCGAGGTGGGGAGGGGAGAAGAGGGGAAGAGAGGGGAGGGAGCGGCATCCGCTCGGCACTGGGCGATACCTGGCTGACCCCGCGCTCCCTCGCTGACCTCCGTCCTGCCCTCAGGCGAAGACCGACTTCCTCGGCCCGTAGCGGCCGAGCGGAAAACCGAGCTCGCAGGGCGCGACTCCATTGGCCCAATCTTATAAATGGAATGCTGTCGTATTCACGGCATTAGATAATATTAATAGTGATAGCAGCAGTGGATGTGGTAAAATAGTCCAAAACAAACGAAAGCACACGATTGACGCATAATGCGCCCTCCTATTCAAATAAGCCCGCCCACTTCAATAGATGGTGTAGTTTCTTAGGGCGTAAAAGATGCAAAACACTACCAAACTTTTTTAGCTCGGCCACTGGGACCGTCAATATACAATTGACTGAAATGCATGAACACCATTTTGCATTTAATAGCCGTTTTCTGCACCCAAACTTTGGTCAGTGACGCCCTGCCCATTCTAAAGCGTTTATAAGATTGGTCTCAGCACCCGATTTTGTATGAGGAAGTCGTTTAAAAAGCATCTTATCTCTAACCAATTTATTTATTATGGCCACTTTTACAGGACGTCTATAGAGCTTTGACATTTCTTCCTCGTTCAGGAGCAACGTTTTAACCCTCACCGGACCTTCAGGTTTTCTGAATACCGAGGGGGCGTTGGGGGTTGGAAGATAGGGAACAATCCCCTTCGCCGATTCGCCCCTTATTGAGCTAGAGCCTCACGAAAGACACCATCGTGTGCGTCGTTACGAAATGCAGCGATCGGTCTCCGATTTTAAGGACTAGGATCAGCCGATGACTTCTGAGGTTAGGTCAAGTGGCCCAAGGCACATGTTCGGTTTTTGGTAAATAACTTCGCTAAAAATGATCGCAGATCCGCGATTTTAGCAGCATCGTGTTTGTCTAGCTCAGGCGTGTCGAATGGTATACATTTTCTTCGGGTGAGATCAAGTTAAGGTGTTAACCTCGGGGCAAGGTCAGGTCACAGCCCGTCAGGTCATGAAGCTGGTCAAAGCATATAGATCTTTATACAATTTAATTTAGGATAGTTTAATTCAAGTCGGTATGAATCCGACTTGACAATTTACTAGGTGGGTTTTGCAGTGCTATTACTTCGGCATGTTATTATAAATCATTGCTAATTCCGATCCGGATATCGTTATTCAATGCTGGCCTTTGCGCCCTCAGAAAAGTTTATAGTCATGAGGGCTTGCATTGACCCACACTTTCCATTTTTCAGCACCATT